AAATGCATAAATAAAAGAAACTTAGCGCCTCTCCCTTTCACTATTCTTAAATACTGTATAGACAATGCGGTCAGAAAGCGACAGTAAAAGAGAAGGGGTGATAACAAACGACGCAAAATCTTATACGGCTCACTAAATAAACCAATTTATATACAGGAAGAATGAGAATGTGTGGGAGGCGTTAAAGTAACGGGATATCAGCTAGATGTATTGCCGATATAAACGAAATATTCATCTTACGCCGTCACCACAGAAAATTATACATTCTGGAAAAATGAACGTGTTGTCCCATGTTGTTGCGTGGCGTTCTTCGAGGAGAATTGATTTTTAGTTGCATATACAAGGTGTTCCAAAATTAATAGGCCAAGCTGTAACAGTATATTATCCGTCGAAAATAAGCCTCCCTAGTAGCTAGCAAGAAAGTTCAAAGTAGCCAGAGTTCTTCAGCAAACTATAATTTCGAAAAGCCTCACCTACACACCACAACCAACACAAACAACATGTAAGACACCGTCCGCTTAAACCAGAAAATAAGCTTTGTAGGCGCGGTTCTTGGGCCAAATGCCGCTTAAAAAGTTAAATCTCGACTACGCGTTTTCTTAGTCCGATAATATATGTGTGTGTAGGAAAGATTAACACGGAGTCAAATCTGTAACGCAAACTTTCCGCCGAACGTGTATAACAAAGTTTACCGAAACCGGAAGTTTTCTTTTGAGAAACTTCCGCGAAATGATGGAAGTATGTAGGAGCGGCACTTAATGTTAGGCGCGAAGTTGAAAAGACGAAGTTGTATCGGTTGAAACTTCGGATGTCTATTGGAAAGTGTTTTCGCCGGCAGGCTACATATAGAAGTCACTACTACGCGTTTATCCTCTGTCTATAGTTCGAATCGTGGACAATATTTAGTTTATGTTTTACTAATGATTTACATCATATAAACTGCACTCAAATGAATCAAAAACAAAAAACGTGGTCCTACAAAATGTGAACTTTCAACTGAGATTAGTTTTGGTTAGTTCAATTCTGTAATTTTTCCGCATGCTACTGTAATACTATTTAGAAATATCCTAGGATCCTAGGAGGGATAGGACATCAAGCGCAAAAGAAGTTAGAAAATCACCGACTGAAACTGGTAAGATTACTCTGTACACTGACTTTTATGTTACGTCGTAGAGACAATAACCTTATCCGTAATTTTCTCAAAATATGGCAAAACTATGGCAAAATCTTATCCGCTTATAAAATTCTTCGTAAATCTAGTTTTGCTATTTGCAAATATGCGAAATCAATAAGCCTTCTGTCGATACCCTTTCAAACATGATTCATGACAAAGCTGAAATTCTTCCTTTATCTTCTACTCAGAATCACATGCAAAAATTTTTAAATTTAACGTCAACACTAGTGACACAATCAAACTCTTCTCAACTTCCAAACACTGTGGTAAATGTATCATGGCACCAACTTTCCAACATGAAAAAATCACTCCTTGAAAAAAGATATTGTGGTTAGTTTCGACTTTTCGACTAGAATCCATCTTTACTATTCCTGAAACCCTCAACACTTATTAAGATGCACTAAAAAACCTTCTCACCTTAATTTAAGAATATTTTGGAACATACTTTTCTTATGCTACGTTGATGATTTTTTTATATTTGGCCCCATACCGAAGCATCTCTACTAGATTCTTTTAGTCATTTAAACTCTGTACACTCCAACCATTGAATTAGACACTAATAATAATCTCCCATTCTTAGATATTCTTATCAATAGAAAAACACACCAAACATTGGGTCATCAGAAAACCTACTCATATGGACCGATAACTTAATGCATTGTCATATCACCATACAGCCCAAAAATCATCGGTTATCAAATCACTTGTTTACAGAGTCATAAAACTAAATCAGCTCGAGTCACTGATTCCAGAATTAAAACACCTTACATCTGCTTTTCCCTCTAATAATTTCCACAATCGAGATATTAACCGTTCCATCGCAAAGTGCTGCTAACTGCTGCTAACTTGCTGCTCCTCCCGGAAAAAATGAATCTGATTGCACCCCACACTTACCACTGTCGCGTTCCATCACAAAATACACTTCATCGCAACATTCCAAAGACAATGTGTCCGAAAGCAACTTCACACTTGCCATTGTTGTCATTTCTTACATTCAAAGCATCACTGACCACCACATACCAAAAGTTATTAAGAAATATAACATCAGAACCAGATTTCCACTTGACCAAAAATCTCTCATCTTCTATCCGTCAAAGACAAAATTCCGCGAAAAGTCAGCAAGTCAGCTGTCTGTTGCAGTAGGGTCATACTAGGGTACTCCCATCTTGGTTACGCTATGCTAAGCTTCTCTCAGGATGGAAATGTCGAAGGTAATCCCTATTATAAACTTATATTTAGTTTATTTTTCATTTGATAAAAGGCTTTAGTGAGAAATACTATTTCTCTGCGAGCCAAAATTCATTTGGAGCTAAAATATCCACTGGTACAGCTCTAAATATGGTTCTACAACATAAGTAATAGAACGAACATTTTGGGTCTCCAAAGCCTGTTATTATTATTATTGTTATTATTTATTGTATATGGAAAGATTATTATTTTTACTGATAAGAAGCCATAAAAACTATTATTCATTATTGGAAACAGTCTAGTTCGTTATAAAGAGAACATGTAAATAGTACGTTGAATAGGGTTTCATTTTCTTGGAGATTACAGATAGTGCAAAATTCGGTATACTCAAGCCGTATAATGGGAATTTCGATTCAAGGTCAGCCCTAAAGTAAATTTGTTTGTATTAAGTAAGGATGTTAGGCAAAAAAAAATGTTTCGTCGCGTCAGCTGAAATTCACGAATTAAATTTCGAATTGCTTGCTCATCCACCTGTTTCGACGGACCACGCTCTGTGCCCGAACCTCAACAACTGGGTTGGTAGATAAAGATTTTTCCAGAATTTTCTTTTCAGATTGGCAACGTAACCAACCGCAATCGCGGATTTTACGGTTGACCGCCTAGGATAAGCTATTTGTAATGAATCCAAATTTATTAAAATGCATTTTTGGATATAAATAATGGAAGCGCTCTTTTATTTTTTGTACCCTTGCATGTAGCACCATAAAATTTGGCATTAAAATGTCTAATTTTTGACATAAAAACAATATCGCAAAATGTCAAAATGAAATCACGGTGCCATTTCAAATATTTTTTTTAAATAGTAAGAGGTCATGCACATTCTATGCGCATACCAATTTTGAAAACATTTCATTTGTCAGGTTTTTCAAGACAAAAAATTAAATAAATTAATAATTATTATTGTAAGGTTGTGTGTGAATACAGCATTAGAGAGTGCCAGGTCATGTTAGATTATTTTCTCTTGTCAATGTCAAAAAATTTTTCAATGCGTTAAGTCCATTTTAACTGTTTTGCTTAAATATTTGTTCGAAAATAATTCGAGTTTGGCGAAATGTCTGCAGGATTCCAGTCGGATGATATCCCGGAATATATTGTCATCACATTTTTCCAAACAAATTAAAATATTTTATTTGCTGTGAGGTGCTTTTAGAGACAACAAAGTTCTTTGGAATATAATTTTTGGGTGTTGGTTAAACATAAAATTCCTATCGATTACTAGTTTTTGTCCCATCAATTAAAACAATTTTAATACTGCATATAGAGATTCCAATATTGCTTTTAAGAAAATCCACTTTATCTTGCTCCCAAAAATCCTAAATCCAGTTTTGTCAGGATTTAGTTTCAAGTTGTGCTTTTTAGGAAGATCGCTTAATATTTGTATAAAAAATAAACAAATTTGAGTTTCACCAACGAATGCCTGTATTTTACAGCATCGCAGTGACTTAAGAATATTGGACGTATAAACGAGAAAGAGTAAGAGTCCTAAGATGGAACCTTGTGGGATAAGATAAATTATGCAGCCTGCCGTCTAAATAGGAACTTACAAGAAGAGAAGCTCGATTATCAATGCCATAATAATACTTTAATTTAGATGTGAATGTTTTATAGCATCCAATGCCTTTGAATAATCTAACAGAATGTCGTCAGTCTGATTTATATGTCTGAAAATTCTTTCGAAAACCGCATTGAGTTTTTGATATAATCAATTTATCGATGAAATATGGTTATATAAATGTCAATATGTCAAATATTTTACATAAAGCTGGTAATATACTCCTAACGCGATGTAGGGTTGGAATTGCTCGGAAGTTGTTTCTCAATTGAAATTTGATAATAGTTGATCTACAACAATTAATGATATGGACTGTGGAGTTTAAACATTAATGGCGAGATTTCATCCAGGCCCATTGCTTGCTTTTGAACATTTTTTAGAAGTCATGTACTTGAGAAAATGTTGCCAGGTTAAATAAAATATTAATTTGTTTTAAAAAAATCATTTTTTATCGAATTTTATGGTTTAATATATGTAAGACTGTACACGGCCAAATTTTGATTAAAAGGAATTTTCACCTGTTGCACTAGTGCCACTAATTCCTACTGATGTGGTCTCGCTATAATGTAGTTTTTTAAAGAAAATCAAGTGCTTAATTTGGATTCCCCGAGACCACCTGCAATTCCACGAAGCATTCAGGTCTGTGTTAATTTTTATTTTTATTCAAGCAATAGTTTTGTACTTTCCGAGCATTAATTTATTTTGTACCAGTCAGACTAGACCCCTGAATGTAGTGTTTACTTGAAGCTATGAAAGCGGGTGAATTCAAACTGTAAATTTAGCAACACCACCGGCGGCAAACTAAATCGTTGGAAAGAACAATGTTATATACGATGAGGTTGAAAATGCTAGTGATGGCAGGAGGTTAAAACTAACCAAAACTAACCAAAATGTTGTATCTCGAAAAATACAGTTTTTTACCCCTCTGCACTTGCTCCTTTTCAGTTGACTTCCTAATACAAGAAAATACCTTTAAAAGTAAATTTGCGCCTTTTTTTTTTGAAAAACGTTCAATCGGCCACGTACCATTAAGCACGTGAACGACCGCAGAAGCCGGACTGGCATTGGACGGCATGCAAGTGTAATTTCCGGTATCCGATAGCAGAGCCTTCGTTATCAGGAGTTTGCTCGTAGTTCCGGCTTCCGTCTTTTCCGTTTCTAAACTGATACCTCCACGGGGTGAGTCGAAGTCTACCACCGATTGGCCGTGGTACCACAGCACCGATGATGGCGGCGTGGAATGAACATTGACCGTGCAGGTTAAGGATATGGTACTGCCCTTCTTGACGTAAATCTCAGCAGGTCCGGCTATCGTTGCTTGAGCATCTGAAACGACAAAGACTGGAATTTTAACGAGGCGTATTTTTTATTTTTATTTTATATTGGACTCTATATAATTTATCACAGAACGAAAGGCTTGGGAACGGGAGAGGGAAGCATAGAAGACGAAAAGTAGTCACGTGAAGTCAAGATTTGTAATTTAAATTAAGCAAATTAATATAGATATGTTAATTATTGTTTTGAAGTTTTATTTCATGCCATTCCATAGCTTACCTTAATGTTTGCAAATATTTGGTACCAATACATAAAGTCCAGTAAGCAAATAATCAGCTTTAATATTTCTAGGAGTTGAACGCACATAAATTTTCGAAAAATTGATCTTACATCATAATAATAATGTTATTCATTTTATTGTGAATCATTTTTGGTCAATGAGGTGTTTTATTCCAATTTAAGTAAAAATTAAAATGTGGTATTTTAACAATGGTAACAAGGTAACAATTACATAAACCAACAAACAATTATATTAATTTTTCAATAAATCGTTACATCGGTTGTTGATAAATCGAATTACCATTGAATTCGACACTAAAAATTGATAGAAAATCTAACAGTGGGTCATTCAATATACAGAAAACATACGCACAGAGGTCGATATTCTAAAAGGTCACATCAACTCTCTTGTTGAAAGAGTTGTAAAACTATCTTAACCAGAATCACTCAACCAAGAGCTAAACACCTTACAACTGTTCTGCTCTAATAATTTCCACATTGGATATATTAAGCGTTCAGTCACAAAATACTTTTCACCACAATCTTCCAAAGACAATGAGTCCAACACTTGCCACTGCCCTTCCTTACATTTAGACTTCTTTTTCCTTACATCTAGAGTTTACAGTATTCCATTCATATGCGGCAAAGAATACATTTTAGAAACAGGACGAAAAATATCCTAGGCTAAAGGAACAAGAAACAACGAATAAGCTCATCAGCGGTTACAGAACACATACATGAAACCGTACATTTAATCGCAGAAGATTTGTAAATGGTATTACGTTAGCCTGTGGGTGTGATTAAAACTGATTGTTGGGAACTGCAATCAAATTGCTGTGAAATAAAACCAATTGAAAATTAATACTCATACGTGCTTTCAAATAACCTTTTCTAGGCTCAAAAATAGTAGGCTCCGAGTTACGGTTTGGGAAACATATGGAAAAAATTTGGGTTTATTAAGTGAGGTTCTAGAAATTGCCACAATCCTAAATCTGGTGACTCTTTTTGACAGGTTAAACATGGAATACGCGTGTTTCGGTATGGAAAACAGTATTTTAGATGCATAAACAGAACAAAAAACATCGAAAATTCCTTATTTTATGTTCAAATTCTATCAAAACCTAATTTACTTCAGAAAATCGTCCCCAACTATTGGGTTGTATAAATATGTACAGTCCAAGATTCTTAAGACACTCAAATTTATTCTTTTTTATTTCTATTTTCTATTGTATTATAAATACTTTGATTTCCTGTTCCTTTTCCTTTCTGATTTGATTAATTGGTCTATTACAATTTCTGGTATATTCGTTTCTAATGATCATCCAGGAAAATGATTAGAATACTTATACATACCCTGTAAATTCTAACGTCTGTATATTATGTTGAGTATAGGTGGGGGCACTATAAATATAGATAAGTATACAGGAAATGCGAATGCAAAGTCGACCAATAAAATTTCGATCTTTATAAACCCTACTGTGTAGTAAAACATTTACAAAAATTCATTCGCTTCAAAAAGGTCTAATAAAAATGAAAAGTCCACAAAAAATTTTTATATTTTGTCGTATCACTCCAACTAGGTACTCCACGGAAGTTTCGTAATATTACCTCGGCAGCTTTAAACGTAAAATGCGCGGGGCTCTTTTTGCGAGATCAAAACTCTCGAAATGATATTTTATTCATGCCCGAAAGCAGAGATCTAACTTTCGGCTCTGTGAGAGGTAACTATTTACAATTTCCATCGAACAATGGCGGTGCCAAACTAGAAGTTTTCGGGAGATTTTGGTTATCTATGACCTAATTTGAGGTAGTCTAAGGGTGCCTCAATGATGTAAGGAAGTATTTTGTCTGTCTTAATGCGACTAATCGTAGTTGCGAGAGTGCTTGGATTTGCACACCTCTTGATTATGTGTTTTAGTATCAATCCATTTTACTAAAGCATTTGATAGGCTTAACCGCATACTTACATCACATGATCACATGATCAGAAGAAATGAACATGAAATTTAGATGATCCTCATTTGTGTCTTTCTTGTATTTTTTCGTTGGAGAGACCGGACGAAAAATATCAACTAGGATCAAATAACACACATTGATGAAACACACTCATGAAACCGGGCATAAAATTTTATTTTATAATCAGTTCTTCTACCAACGGAAAATCCGAAAGTCTATAGAAATCCATAAACAACCTAACAATCTTAATCGCGACTACGTGTCACCAATTTGGGAATCAGTCATCCGAGAAGGTTTTATACTCCTCATTAGCCCCCCCCCCCCCCGCCCTCAAGCAATATATAACCAGGTACAGAGTAACATACGAGCCAGTTTCAGTCAAGCTCTGAAGAAGCCAACCGGATGATTGGCGAAACGTCAGCAATTTCGACTAAGCAAAAACCGACGCAGGAGGAATCCAGAAGCTTTGTAAAAAGCGATAATTAAACCAGTTAGCATTTTTTTTCTTTACAGATGTTGTTTCCATTTACTCCAAAGATTACATACATATTGCTTAATTATAGTATCTTCTCTATTTCATTTTGTACACGGAGTCGTTCATTCAGTTTGTTTCAGTACATCAAAAAGTTCACCAGAAACTATGATATCCGGAGCTATAACAAAATATTTTTTACGAAAAGCTCAGCTTTGCTAACATTAAGGCAATACTTTTTTTAAGGTGACCATAAAATTGAAACAAAATTTCGCCACTGCGAAATTATTTGAGATGAAGTATCAATTATACCCAAATTTAAAGAAATTATTGCATTTTATTGGACACATCAGTTCAATTTTATCAATATTTTATTATAATTGACAAGCGCCTCACGCGAACTTGAAGACGCTAACTTACTCTCAGTGATATGAAGCACCAGCGTCAGATACAATTATTTTGAAGTGCTAAATTGGCACACCGTCATTCCCAAAAAAATAAATACATTTGTTTTGAGGTGTCAAGTCTGTGTGAATAGGTTTTCTGTAATCGAATGTGTCTAGAGCTTTCTTCCCATAAGCTTCCATAAATATATTTGCGATGACCGCTGAAAATTTCAGATTTGTTCATAAATTTGACAGTTACAAGACAAATATTCCAGACAAGTATTTTTCAATTAAGACGAAAATGTTTCATTCTAGATTCCCATATTCGAATAAATCTGAAATGACGTTGAGAATTTCAGGAATAGGGACTTTAGTAAAAGGGAACTCTACATCGAAACTAACCAGAATATCGTTTGTCCGTAGAATCGAGAAATTTTAGAGTCGTGAGTGAGTGAGATTTTTTCCGGATTTTAACAACAGCCATTAACGAAGGAAGATTCATAAGTTTACACTATTAATCAATTGAATACATTATTAGCAACTGTTAGGAAAAACGCAGAAAAATCTTTCTTTTGGTAACTCCTGGTCACTGAATAGTTTCGGAAACTTCGATAGAATTTAAATTAATATGCATAACTGAGTAAGTCGGTTAATAGATCGGAAGTTTGAAGTCTAATCGATAAGACGAGATGAGATGCTCGCCTTTTGGGGGCTGTGAATAGTTCATAAACTCCAATCAATAGCGCTGTAAGTCGGGTTAATAGTTTACACGATTATCGGTTAACGGCGGAAAACCATTTGTCGCTTGTCATATTTTTTATCCTTGATCTAGCACTAAGTATATAAAAAATGTTAAATAAAATCGCCGGAAACAACGGGTTCGCTTATTATCACAAAAAAATGTGACAACGAAATTAGTGTAATACTGACACTTACTAGAAGATTTTGTAAAGAATATGTATATATTATTAATTTTTACAAAATTTCATGTTTCCTAAGGTATTCACAAACATTTTTATGAACTTGGTATTAAAAATTTAGACTCAAAAAGTTGGCCAACTGACAAAAGTTACAGTCACAACAATCGACTGCACCCAAACTTGCGAGTAAGGTACAGTGCTTTTACAGATGTATGATTCGAGCCTAAATTGATGCATTAAAATTGATAATTTAGAAATATAATTAGAATGTAGAAACGAAGTTTTATATTTATATATTTCTTGTGTTTATATTTATTTTTTATATATTTTTAGTATATGTACTACGTGGATTTCACAGAGCAATCATTTTAAAAGATTAAGATGGCAGTTACGCTCCCTGGCGAATGGAAATCTGAAAATATTTTCCACGGTTTTCTTTGGACCGCTCAAAACGGTCAATTAAGATGACATGTTACTCGGTTTTGAATATGCCCCCTACTTACATGACATCGATTTTTTGTAAATTACTAACTGAAGCGAAGTTTAGTATTAACAACTTAAAGTAAACGTATACGTAAGTAAATAAGTATACGTAACCTAAAATAAACTAAGCAATAAGTAAATGTTTTTAGTGGAATGGATGAACCTGATGATTAATAATAAGTTATCAACGTTTGGTGTCAATTTTGTAAGGCTTAATTTTAACTCTCCTTGGCTGATTATGTCGAGTTCGTTTCTTTTTTCGTTAGGATATTAGTAACAGCTCTAAACCTTGGATCCACCAGATATGACGATTTAAAGGAAATTATCAATTCTTCCGCTAGATTCCGGGATAAGTTATGGGTATATTTTTTGCAGCCAGAATTGCTGATATCCGCTCTTAAACTGGATTTTAATTTCTTCCTTGTACTTTATTCAATCAGTTCTTCGTATATTATGATATTCGTTTCTTCTGTGGCATCACATGGGTCAATTATCCACAGTGGCATTACCATAGTCAAAACGTTCTCAAACCTAGTTTCAAAACCTGAATAAATC